GATATTAGTTTCTTGATAGAAAGGGCCCACCTGAGTGATAATCACAATAAATGAGTATTCCATTACAACATGGATATATAGAGATAAAGAGAAGATACTAAAACTCCCAGAGAGGGAAAAAGAGTTCATATAAGGAGTCAATATCTAGATTTCTCAAAAGCAATATTGAAATGAGAGATAATGGAAATAATTTTAATTCAAATTGTATACTCAGCCAAATTATCAATTAAGTGAGAAAGTAGGATAAAGACAATTTCAGATTTGCAAAATCTCATTAAATTTACCTCCCAAATACCCTTTCTCAGACAGCTACTGGAGAATAGGCACCACAAAGTAAGTGAGTAAATCAAGAGAGAGAAATATATGGAACACAGAAAATAAGAGATCCAGCTAAGGATGGCTGTTGTACACCAGGCCTAGAGTATAATATGTTGAGATTGGAGCAGGTGTGAAAATTTGTGTCTAAGGATAGTGCAGGATTCTATATCTATAACTATCATCTTTCTGGAATGAATAGGTAGGCACAGTGAAAGCCAATGAATTCACAATTATGCTGTCATACAGTTGAGACACAAACTGAGACTATAAAGAATATATTTCTAATATGAAGGGCTATGGTGATGTCTAATGTCTCTCTTAATCATTTTAGCAATATCCTTCTGATTTTCTCAGAGTATACTCAGAATAAAAAACAAATTGATCTGAATAAAGGATAGATATAGATAGATAGATAGATAGATAGATAGATAGATAGATAGATAGATAGAAAGATAGAGATAGATATGCATAATATGCTATCTAAGGAAGGATGCATAAGATAGGATGCTGGAGATAGGAGTTGCCTCAGGGAGAGGTACTGGGTGGCCAGGAAAAAGAAATATGAGGGAGACATTCTTTTCACTATCTCTTTGTTCCTTTCGTACTTTGAATAGAATTCAGGGTAAGATAGAAACAGGAGGCTGGAATCAGTTGGGTGGTGACTGCCTTTTCTTGACATGAATAAATAAGAAGGAAAAAGAAAGGGTGGATGCCAGAGCTGGAGAAATACTGGCCTGGCCTGGTGTCGACCAAATGTGGTAGGAGGGTGGGGGTGGGCAGTGGGTGGTGAGAGAAAGGCCAAAGGGAAGTAGTCAGAGATGACTCTTTGCTTTCAAGCTTGGGTTAGCAAATGTGAGGACACTGAGTAGATGAAACTGACTTCAGAATAGAACAGAGAAGGAGGGCCAATTGTAAAATAATAATGACTGGTGGGGGTGGAGAGGAAGGAGTTGAAGGCAAACAACATAGTTCACTTTCCCTCTAACCAAAAGTACATTTTCACTGGTCTTATTATGTGTCTTATCATCCACAGCTTCTGGTTTTATAAGATGATGGAATGGTCTGTGGAAAGCTCAGTGACAGGTCCTCTGGAGGTCACTTTCTTTGGGGCTGACGTAGTATAGCGCAAAATGTGGTGTAGACACTCATCCCACAACCAACCATGATGCTCACTTTTCAATAGCCAGAAAATACAAGCCTGGGAAGTAAAGGGGTAGAAGGGCTGACACTTTGTGTAATTTCCCCAGCTCTGCCAGTTACTAAGTTAGCAACGTTAGGTAAATCACTTTAACCTCTGTGTACCTAGGTTTTCTCACTAGCAAAATGGACATAATATCCCACTACTTACATCACAGTGTTGTTGTGAGGATGAAATGTGGTAAAGAGTTTTAAACTTAGAAGGTAAGATTTATCTCATGGTAAATATGCAATAAATATTAGAAAGTACTATCATGATACCTAATATCTTTAACTTTTTTTTTGCTTCTTTTTCCCCAGACTTTGAACACAGCAGATCTAGAGAATTTAATATACAAGGTAGAGACATTTTCACCATAGTACATGTTTATTCAATCTTTAAAGATAGTGTCTGAAGGAAGCACTATCTTAGGTACCTGATATCCATTGGTAAAGATGGTAGACACACTGCTTTACAGAATTTTCTTGCCTATTCTCACACCTTGATGAATGTATGCATGTATGCATTTAGTTTAAAATCAAAGGACTATTTTTACATTAAACTTTTGTTTAATATACATACATATGTATAACTAAAAATTCAAAAGTACAAAAATTATAAATGGAAAGGCAAATCTCTCTTAACTCCAAATTTCCCAGCTGTCCTCAGAACCAATCACTTTTACACTAATTTTTGTGTCATTACTAAGATAAACACATAGAAGCATATAAATTCCCTTTCTTACACAATGTTTAAGGGAAAGGGTGGAGGACAGGATTTTGGATGGTTCAGAGGCTCCAAGCCAGGGTAAATAAATGGACAATGTTAAGAGGAAGGAAGTAACAGTAGGGGGAACAAAGAGGTAGCATCAGACAACAAGGATTGAGGAGTGCTGGTGAAGTGAAAGCAGAAAGTGTAGACTTTTCAGTCAGTTTAATAACATTTATTGGAAACGACTCTGTACAAAACATATTAGGATCCAGCAAGGTGCTTAGAGTCTAATGAAGTTTGGGCAAAGCATACAAAAGGTGATATTACAAGGGAGCATGGCTAGCAGAGAGGTTTACAACTCTCCAAGGACCTTCAGAGACACCTGGCGGTCTACTTATGAAAAATCAACCACCGAAAAGCTGACGGAGTTCAGTTCTACTCTGACACACATCGGTTCATCATGAGTTGGAATCAACTCTAAAGCAGTTGGTTAGGGCCCTTTGTTGTTGTTGTTGTTGTTGTTATTTGCCATCGAGTTGGCCTGACTCATAGCGACCTCTACTTGGGTTTCCGAGACAGTATCACTACAGAAGTAGGATTGCCCAACCTTCCTTCCGAGGAGTGGCTGGTGGGTTTGAACCGCCAGCCTTCTGGTGAGCAGTCAAGTGCCTTAGGCACTATGCTACCAGAGCTCCTTAGGGCCCTTTAGGTAGAATAAAATGAACGATTTCTTCACTTAATAGGTTTTCTCTTTTTATATAAATTCATAAGAGAAAAAAAGGAAATGATCTCTTCCATCAGGGTGAACACAGAAGGCTTCATGGAAGAGATATCTTTTTATCTAGGCTTTGAACAGTGGGAAGAATTTAAGGCCCATGCTCATAATGCTTCTTTTTTCTAACTTTGGGATGATGATTTAGGATTGCAAACATGTTGTTCAAATTGAGCTTCCCAAATCTCTGAGGCTGAGTAATTTTTTTCTTCTAGGCCAATTTCTCCACCCAAAGTGCTTCTCTCTTCATCTGTCAATTAAATAGGACATTAATTCCATCCATGCTAATCTCTGAGGGAATCTGCTGAAGCTTTTAATGTAACCCTAACATGGGGCCATGGTGGACAGATAGAACTCAGTTCATTTCTCTCTCCCAGAGAGGAAAGAAGATAGCTCTTTGGCGCTCCTCTTCCACACCCTGTCCCCCTCTTCTTCCCTCACCATATTTTTAGGTGCTCTATGTTGTAAAATGTTTCATCTCTGCTCTAGTACTCCTGGAACACACCATGCTCCTGTTTCCTGAGGCCTTCTGGATTGTACTGGGTCATGGGTGTTTCACTGCTTGGTTAGATGATTTTCCTCAGCTTCACTGGGCTTGTGTCTCCCAAAGTTCTTGTAGGTTTAGACCAAGGCTGTTCCACACCTGAGAGATGCCTCCTTAAAGCCATGGCTTCCTAACTCATTTCTACTAGGCTGTTATATCCATCTCCTGTACCCACTTTTACTGTTGTTGCTTAAGGCAACAACAGTCCTCAGACACAAGTTCACTAGCCCTTCACAGGGCCAACTGATATCTCCTTAGGATATGCAGGCTGAAGAAGCCTCTGGGTGATTTTGGTCCCAATCCTTCAGATCCCCACTCCAGCTCTTTCTCTACCTCTGCCATTACTTGAAAGAGTCCTAAGCGTCCTCTGTTTATCCCATTACCAAGATGATAGTTCTCCCTCCCCAGCTCTTTTTCCAGTCACATAAAAAAACCCAGTAACTTGGATATCATCAAACCCTCTCAGTGACCACTAGGGAAATTTCTGGCTGTCTTAACTTAATTTGGACAGGCTGTCCATCTGTTCTTGTTCTAAGGCCTCTTGAAGGACTGATCATTTCATGGGTATCTCTGTTGGTTGAGATCTTTCTTTTTTTGCTCCTTTTCTTTTGAGTATTGTGATATTTCTATTGATTCTTGCACAGTTGGCCTCAGACCATTATCTCAGTCATTTTTGCAAGAAGAGAAATAGAGCTCACAGTGTACAGTGCTTTCCTGCTTGATTTCATCCCTCTCTGTTAAGACTGACTAGTAACTTGTTGGGCAGATGGAGTTCCCTCAATATTAGGAACAGCCAGATGGAAATGGCCCCAGGACCCAGAGTTGGTTCTATCTCTGTCTCTCTTAATTTCCCAAATTTGAGTTGGTCTCCTCATTGCTGCCAGCACACTTTCCTCACTGAACCTACATGGAGATGAACCCTCCTTAGCAGACAGACATAGTGATTGCATTATTATAGCACAGGTTTCTTTGTATTTCAAAATATTAATATTATAACCATAAAGCCACAAAATACATAACTCCCATCCAGACTGAAGAGGTAAGTGTTCAGTCCGAGGAATACAAGATAAGATGAGGCACCACTTTAGAATTCAGGGCAGATAAAAGTCAGGATTCCAGGAACTGGGGCTTTACCTAAAATCACAATTCTAAACCTAAGACAGGCAGCTAGATCTGCAACAGGAGGCATTGGTCCTAAGCATTGTTCCTGGGCCAGGAATCATTCATGTAGGCTTAGCTCACAAATGTACTCTGAGATGAAAAGAAGCAGTTAGAGAATTAAAGTTGGCTCTTGGCATAGGGGGTAGAGCTGGCATTATGGGAAGGTTATTTCCCTTAGAAGCCTGGAGCCCCATTATTGTTAATGGTAATATTTTCTTGTCATCTGGGAAGGTTTAGAGAGATAACATGAGGTTGGCTGGATATTTCCAAAGGAAAAGGTATAAAAACTGAATACTTATATGGACTTTACTGTTCAATTAAAAACGTGTAGCACTGTTGTGTTCTGCAGAAGATGTCTTCAAATCCTTAACAACATATGGGGCTTCCTCATCAGACCTTTCCAGTGCATGGTCTTCTACTCTGGAAAAATAGAAAACAGAATTAATTAGGTGATATTTTGTAGACAAGTCACTTTCTCTAGATTTTTTCAATGATATGGCAGAATATTGGTCATTGAAATAGCAATGGGGAGAAGTAAGCTATCGAAGAAAGAAATGGAGGAAACAAGAGAAAGGAATCCTAGTCCATATTGTTTTCTACATTTGGGTACATAAACTACCCTTTATTTTATTCTTTTTTTAAAAAAATGCATTTTTTTGAAATGTAATTTATGTACAGTGAAATATACAAAACTAAAGTGACATTCGTCAATGCATTTTTCCTTTTTTTTTTTTTTTTGCAATGTTCCCTCCCTGCCCCTCCTACCCTGGGGAACCAACAAAGAAAGTTTCCCTCCATATATAAACCTTTCCTTGACCCTCTGCAACAATGAACTAATACTATATTTGTCCTTCTGTGATTGACTTATTTCACTTAGCATAATGTCCTCCAAGTTCATCCATGTTATGCAGTGTTCTGCAGACTTTACATTATTCTTTAGTGCTGCATAGCATTCCATTGTGTGTATGCATTCCATTGTTTAGTCATCCACTCTTCCACTGATGGGCACATAGGTTGTTTCCATCTTTTTGCTATTATGAATTGTGCTTTGCTGAACATGGGTGTGTATGTATCTGTTCCTATCCTGGCTCTCACCTCTCTAGGATATAGACCTACTAATGGGATTGCTGGGTCAAATGGTATCTCCAATTTCAGTTTTCTAAGGAATCACCATACTGCTTTCCACAGTGGTTGTATCACTTCACAGTCCCACCAGCAGTGTATGAGAGTCCCAATCTCTCCACATCCCTGCAAGCATTTGTTATTTTCTGTCTTGTTGAATCTTGCCATCAGTGCTGGGGTGAGATGGTATCATTGTTGTTTTGATTTGCATCTCTCTGATGGCCAATGATCGTGAGCACCTCTTCATGTATTAGCTGGCCTCCTGAATACCCTCCTTGGTGAATAAATTGTCTATTCACGTCTTCTGCCCATTTTTCAATTAGACTGTTAATCTCTTTGCTGTTGAGGTGTTGGAGTTTTCTATTAATCTTGGAGATAAATCCCTTGCCAGATATGTAATTATTGACAAGTGTGAATCTGTTGCTGTCATTTTGTTATGTGCCCTTTTGTGGTGTTGATTTCTTTGTTCTGTAAAATTTTCTGTGCTGAGCTTGTTTTGGAAACTTTGGTGGCATAGTGCCTAAGGCAATTTGACTGCTAACCAGAAGGCTGGTGGTTCAAACCCACCAGCCACTCCTCAGAAGGATAGTTGGGCAACCTACTTTTGTAGTGATATGGCCTTGGAAACTCAAGGAGGGGTCACTATGAGTCAGGTCTGACTCAATGGCAGTGAGTTCATTGGGTTCAAACTCATTTTGTTTATGAATCATGTTATCACTTCCTTTATTGCTATTGTTTTAGTATTTGCTAAATATTTGTGCTGGTTCTCTTTTTTTTCAATGTGAAGGTTTATCATTTTTCTTTGAGGTTGTCCTATGATTTCTCGTTTTCTCCCCAACTTTAGAACAGTACATTCCATCTTGTCATTGTCTTGACTTCTCTACCATTTAAAAGTTTTGTAACTACACAATTCTTTCCCTCTTTTTGGTTTGTAGTGTCCTCATTTGTCAATTGATGTCTCTGGTTCCCTATTTACAATCTTGTAGGCTTATTAACTTTGGGTATTCTATAACTGGGTTGGTTTCTGAGTTATGTCATCATATGTGTTAATGGTCAGTTGTTTGCTGTTGTTGATTCTCTGTCCTTTAGCATCTCTTGTAAGGTTGGTCTGGTTTTAACAAATTTCCTTAATTTCTGCTTATCTGGAAATGTTCTAATTTCACCACTATATTTGAGGGATAATTTTGCTAGTTATATAATTCTTGGTTGGAAATTTTTCTTTTTCAGAATTACATATATACCATCCCAATGTCTTCTTGCCTGCATGGTTTCTGCCAAGAAATCTGAGCTTAGTCTTACTGGTTGCCCCTTGTGGGTAACTTTTCATTTTTTCCATGCTGCTGTCAGGATTCTTTCTTTGTCTTTGGTTTTGGTGAGTTTGATAATGATATGTCTTGGTGATTTTGTTTTGGGGTTTATCCTGTTTGGGGTTCATTGGACTTTTGAATAGATACATTCTCATCTTTCATCATACCAGGAAAATTCTCTTCCAACAAATCTTTGACAATTTTTTCTGTGGTTTTATTTGTCTCTTCCTGTTCAGGAATTCCAATTACATGTAGATTATTCCTTTTGAAGGTATACCAGATGAACTCTAGGTTTTCTTCATTTTATTTTTATTTTTTTTCTGATTGATCCCTTTCCAAAGAGGTATTGAGGTATTTGTCTTCAATCTCACTATTTCTGTCTCCCATTGATTCAATTCTACTTCTTTGCCCTTTCAAAGTGTTATCTATTTCTGAAAATTTAGTATTAATCTTCTAGATTTCTACATGTAGATTTTGTATCATTTCTAATTTTTCATTTATTTTATAATTTTATTCTTGTATTGTCTTTTGAAATTGTTCTAGGGTTTTCTTTGTGTTTTCCTCAATTTTGTCAGTGTTTTCCTTTATCTGTCTCTCAATCCATTGAAGGTATCTAAATATAATTCTTTTGAATTCCTTATCAAGGAGTTCCAATGCTGGTTCTTCCTCAGGATGTGTTTTGGGTTTGTATCCTAGTCCCTCATTTCTCTTTCTTTATCTTGCTTCTTTGTGTGGACTGTGATGCTCTGTTGTCTCTAAAGCATTGCGATGTTTTGTGTTTATATTTAATTTGTAGTTGTATGTTGGAGTAACTTGGCCATGATTTTTGTTTTCTTTGTATGTTATCTACATAAGCAGTGTACTGTCTGTGCTCCTCTATTCACTAGTTGGTAGCACTTATACACTCACTACCTATCTCCTTTCCCATTGTTAGCCTCCCATATGTCCCTGCCGTCCTTGGCAAATGGAGCCTATTCTTAGGTCCTTGGAATCCTAATGAGAATACTGTCGTTTTAAAATCCAAAATGGCCACTGCTTGTAAACATGCAAAATGGCTGTACCCTCGGTCACTTTAAATATCCAAAATGGCTGTCATGTGCAAACAATCAAAATGGCTGCACCCTCCAGACAGCCAAAATCCACAGCTCAGGCTGTCTCCCTCCTTGCTGTCTCCCTTCCTAGTCATAGCCCACCAGCGCAGTTGTCCCTGCGGCCCTTGGCTACCAGGGTTGATCTTTAGGTCAATTCTCAGGTCTCAACACCAGTTGGAAATATACAGGGTATTGGTCTAATCAGAGTAGCTGACAGTCCACAGCTCTGACTGTCTCTGTACTTATTACTGTTTTTGTTCAGGTTTTTCCACTAGTTGGTGCCTCATCCACTTCCATATACTTCCTTTCAAACCTTAGGGCGCCAGGATCATCTTCTGTATCTCTGTCAATTGGTTTCTCTTTTCTTTGGTGAAGAGAGTCTGCGTAGCTGGTCTGCCTATTCCTCCATCTTACTGGAAGCCTACCTTCTATTTTGTCCTGGCCCTTGCTCTGTGCTGATTCCTTCCTATAGACTGTTCCCAATCCTTCCTGAATGGAGTCGGACAGGGCAGGCAGGATCTCAGCACCCCAGTTTACCATCCAGGACATCTGGAATTAGTATTTTATTTTAACGATAATATTGTTTTCTGCATTTATTTGTTTTAACATTTTACTGTGATTTTGGTGGAAGTTTACAAAGCAAATTCATTTTCCATTCAACAGTTCATACACATTGTGTTTTAAGACATGGATTGCAGTCCCTGTAAGGTAAAAGCTCTCTTTCCAGTTCCTTCCTGTGCTTACTTTTTCTCTGTGTCCTTTCCTAAGCATTCCTGCCTTCTGAGTTTTCTCCTTGTGCAAATGCTGCTCTTCTGATCTCCCCATGGTTGATTGTTTTAAGGAATGCACCTCCGTGGTGTAATCATTCAGCTTATAGGCCTGTCTATCATTTGGCTGAAAGTTAAGCCATCGGAGTGAGTTCAATTCCAGGCCTGAAGGGTAAATAGGGGCCACAGTCCTGGGGGTTTCACCAGTCTCTATCAGACCAATAATCCTGGTCTTTTTTTTTTTTTTTTTAATGATTTTGAGTTTTGTTCCACATTTTTCTCCCACTCTATCCAGCATTTCCAATTTTCATCCCTTCCCCAGTGGTTGACAGTGGTAGCCAGGCACTATCTAGTTCTGGTTAGAGTTATGTAGGGTTAGGTTCCCATGGTCTACTAGTTCCTTGGACTAATTGTTTCCATGAGTGATTTTTTTTTT